GAAAGAACACAGACTCTGTTGTGGTTGGGGGCGGCTGTGGCGAGGAGGAGGGGCGAGTGGGGACGCGAAGGTCCCCGTGGGGGGGGCAGGGGTGCGCCTGGAAGTGGAGAAGCTCTTGGAGTCGGGTCCTCCCGTGGCCGCCTCGCGCGGGGCCGGGACGCCGGCGGGCAGGAGCAGGGACCACGGACACTAGGAGGAGGCGGCGCAGGAGGAGGCACTGGCGGGGTCACCCTCAGGCGGCTCCCGGCTGGGCGCCTCTCTCTGTGTCTGCGGGAGGAAGGCAGCGCTGAGGCCGGGGCACCGCTTCCTAGCTTGGGCCGGACTGTAACCGTCCACGGTGCCGTTGTGTGTCCCCTGGCCCCGGCACCCTGTGGTGCCCTCAGTCTGCGCGCAGGTGGGGACAGGACCTGGCATTCTGTGGCGGGCGCCGGGGCGGCCTGCACCGGGCCGGGGGCGGAGAGCGTGGAGACCCTCCCTAGGCCGGGCCGGCGGGGTGGAGAACAGATATGGACTCGCTTTGACAGAAAAAGTGGTTCTGCCAACACAGAGATTTGGGGGTTTGAAATACAATTGACATGAAAAAATGGAGTGTTACGACAGAAAGAGAAACTGGAAGCCCGAGGAACGCTGTTTTGTGAGTGATTTGTTCAGCTGGTGCGTGTGAAGCCTCCTCCAAGCAGGACTGTTTTCAAACTGCCCCTGGCTGAGCAGACGGACCCGGCGCGCACCTAGTTAGTTCAGGAAAACGCAGTTGTCTCTCCGAGCGCCCGCAGCCGTCTAGTCCTTCCTCGAGGGGAAGCACTGACTTCTGGTGAAGACGGGTGCGAACGGGCGCAGGGCCTGCCCTGGCAGAGTGGGGAGGTGCTGGCCACGGGAGGGGGGGTGCAGTGCCCGGGGCCTGCCCAGGGTCTGACCCGGCGGCGGCAGCCCTGTGTGCCTGTGGCAGACCCGGGAGCTGGAGGCTGTGTTTTCTCAGATCAGCTCCATGGAAGGGGTGGACTCTGGGTGGGTGGCCGGGACCGCCCCCTCCCCCCCGCCACCCTCCCTTCCCCAGATCGGGAGGATTCCTGGTCCCGGCTGTGGCTGTGGCTGTTGGCTGTTTTCCGGGAAGCTCCCCTGTTAAGCCCATGAGGTCCGGCCTCAGCTTTTCCTACCCCTGGTCCCCTGGTGACTCGGGGGTGGGGGGAGAGGGGATGCTCGACGACGGCCCTGGGCTGGGAAGTGGTGGTGCTCAATCTTGCACCTTAGGAACTTCCGATGATTCAGATTGGTGTTGCTCAACCCGGGCGCTGGGACACTTCGGTGCGGAGAGCGTGGCTGCGTCGTGTTGCAACATCCTGGCTCTGTCGTCTGTTCAGCCGAGCCTGGTGGCTGTGATGGCGAGATGACGTATAGCTCTAGATGTGCCTTCCACAGCCCCACGTGACCTGTCTCACCATTTAAAAAGCCACACCTGAGGTACTTGGCTGCGTGCTTGTTCGTAGGAGTGTAGACTGGTGGGGGAGGACATGAGCAGAACTTGGCGGCCCCGCCTGCATCCCAGCAGCTGTGACGGGTTTGGGTTGAAGCAGAGTGAGGAAAATATGGTCAGGGTGAACAAAATGTGGCAGCCCAGTCAGAGATGGCAGCCCAAGCCTCTGCCCAAGACCGGGTGCGCGTGTGTGCACGTGTGCACGGTAACCTTACACCGTGAAAGGAAGCGGGCACGTTTCACAGTGATAGGGTGGTGAGTGAGTTTCTCCCGGTAAGAAACTTTAGAGTAAATTCTTTGTGCAGGTAGAAGCAGACCAGCAGGGACTGAGACACAGGCGCGCTGCTCCGCCCGTCCCGGGGTGCGGTCCCTGGTTCACCCGAGGGATGAGACACGCAGGCTCCCCGTTTGCTCGGGGACGAGGGACTAGTTGCCTTGGCCGGGACTTGAGCTTGGGTTCCGCTTCCAAGTGCCGGTTCCATTTCCAGTTCCCACGCAGAACTGGCAGCCCCGACGCTGGTCCTGCCGCGTCGAGCTGGGGTTTGCTCTCTGTCCACGGTCCCCTCCTAGGCAGAGGGCTCAGGGATGCGCGGAAGGGCCAGGGGAGTTTGGGGGCAGCTCATGCTTCGCTGCAAAGTGCGTGAGCTCATGGTTCTTCCCTGAGCAAGTAGGAAGGAAGCTGGCCCGCGTCACAATGGCCCCTTTCAGAGTCAGGCGAAGTTTCGTTTTTCATGTTCGTGGACCATTGTGTCAAGAAAAAGAAAGAGGCCTCGTTCGGAAGATCCCCGAGGAACTGGTGCGGGCCTGTGGACACAAGGCTAGAAACACGAGTTGACAGAAACAGGAGTTGTGCTGCTGGGAGGTGGTTTTGAATTTTTTTTTTTGGATATGATTTTTCTGTCTGGAGACTTCGGGGCTCCTCCAGATTCGGTACCACACAGTCGCAGGAAAGCTGGGGACAGAACCCACAAACCGCGCCGGGAGCAGAGGCTGCTCACTCTCAGGGCGTCTGCTGCGTCCAGGCTTGGTGCACTTGCATGTCCTGTAACCTTGAGGAAACAACCCGAACGGAGGGGTGCTCCACAAGACAGCTGGCCTGTAGGCTTCTGAAACGTCAGCTGCGAGAGAGAGCCTGAGGAAGCTTTGCGGACCGAAGGGGGCAAGACAGAGAGACATGGCCACGGGGGGCCCTGCGTCCAGAGTTGCGTTGCAGGAGGGTAGATGTGGACATAACACTGGGACAGTGGGCAGAGTGTGAGTGTAGAAGGGCCTGGAGGAGGGGGTCGTCTGCAGCTTGCTCGCACAGTGTCCACAGAAACAAAGTGCAGGTGTGTGTGCAAGTGTGCACGCCTGCGGGTGTGTCCACCTTGTCACCAGCAAGTCAGGAGAAGCAGTCACCGGCACGAGGCATGTGTGGGGCACTTTGGAGGCTGACAGGAGGTGGCTGCCAGTTCTGCACGGCGGCCTGTGGGCTGGAAGGTGGGGTCACAAGGAGGTGCCGTGGAAAGAAGGGTCGAGGGTGAGTGGTAGCCCCGTGCCCACACAGCATGCGCCACATGGACCTGGACCTCACCCACGGGCTTGGAGACCGCTCGGTGCCCTCAGCCCCGCTACGTGGCTTACCCGATCGGGTACGCTTTTCCCTCACGTGCCATGCATTGTGAGGCCTCCTGAGCTGGGTCATTCAGCTCCGTGATGGCTTCGAGAACCCAGGCGTTCGTGTTCTGGGCTACAGCCATCCTTTGTGAGTGGTGTCTCCTGCGGTTGAAGACGGTTGTCACAGCTCTGTGACGCAGTGGGATGAAGAAAAGGGAGGTTTCTTTCTGATCACTATGAGGAAAGAAACCTTTTCCGGAACTACATGACCATCTTGCCTGTGATCCCCTGAGCTGAGACGGTGTTACCTGCCAGGGACATGATAGTGGAGGGTGACTTAGCCCTTCACGCTGGCGCCAGTGGGGGGGACCGCCCAGGCAGCCAGCGGGGATGGCGTGGGGAGTGGGTGAGCGGTCACTGGGGCCTGCTTCCCTGGAGAAGGAGGCTCTTCATCTTCCAACAATGGGCAGCTGGAAGGAGAAAGCCCCACACATTCCCCACCGCCACCTCCCTGCACTGTTCCTCCTTGGCATGTCGCTTTCCCGCCCTGCCACACTGCCTGCTGTAGCCCTGACCTCCCCTCTGCCGTCTCGCGCAGTTTCCGTCTGGATGTCTTTGCACGGCATGTTTTCCTGCATCTCTGCCGTCTTCGTAAATATTGTAATAGGTGTGTAATGGCTTACGTTGTGCGGCAATTTGTTAAGCCTCCAAACAAACAATGGCTAGCAGTTTCCAAGCATCTCGCACTTACTAAATACTTTCACTACAGACACTGTTCTGAGTGTTGTACGTTTGTTCACTTAGCCTCACAACTCCGTGACAGGTAGCAGCCGCTGTCACCCTGGTTTTCAACTGCGGAAACCAGCACAGAAAGTCTAACATGTTACCCAGGATCACGCTGCTGGCAAGTGGGGGCTGGCCACAGGGTTGGGGCCGGAGGCAGGCAGCCGGGGCTGGTAGCTGTGACCTCTAGGCCAAATTGCTTCGTTCGCACCTTTGCTTTTGTGGCCCAGCCGGGGTGAACACCTCCCCACACAGCATGTCCTTTGCACACGCGTGGGTAGCAGGTGGCGGTGGGCTGAATCCATGGCCGTGCAGGAGCAGAGATGATGCCTGGACCGTGTCAGAGCAGTGTTCTGTTGAGAAGGGCCCGGGGAGAAGGTGCTGGCTGGCTCATGATGGGGACCGGGGGCGGCTGGTTTTCTTTGCCGCGCCGCTTCCCCATGGCACTTGTGCACTTATGTCCTCGTGCATTTGCACTTAGGTGCCAGCATGGGTCGTGTGTGTGTGTGTGTGTGTGTGTGTGTAACACCAACCCCTTTCAGATGATGCAAGTATTTTTCAAGCTCTCGTTTTTTTTTTTACTTTTAACTATTTTTAGTTTCTATATATGTCTGTTATTTTCTGCTGCTTCAACACTCTGGGAGAGATCTCATTTGAGAGATCTCATTTCTGGTAGGGCTGGATTTTCTTTGATAGTTCACTTTTTATTACATAATTACTTAAGCTTAAATTTTACTCCCCCTAAATCACTGTTTATCTAACCCGAGGCCCAGTTACTTCTTTACATGCATTTTAATGTTATAATTCTAAAATTTTTTGACTTCCTGTTTTTTGTTTTTTTTTTGGTAATTGGTAGATCTGCATTTGCCCTTACACCGCATGGCCCAATTCCTGTTTTAAAGTAATGATAAAATCTAGTAGGCCTGACTTTCTGCTCATCTGTGCTTAACTTTTCCCTCTTCAGAATTTGAAAACTGTTCTTCCACATTTTGTTTTTTCGAGTGAATTAGCAGATCATTTTGACATGACCCGTAAGACATGCGAGGGGCCAGTCCTTGCGCCCCTTTGGGTTCAGGTCATAGTCACAGGCGACAGCAGGAAAGTGGTTGTGGTGCTCAGGGTCTCATTTCCATTTCTCTTTAATTTCTAGATTTTGGATCATTGTTTGACTTGGAAAATGATCTTCCCGATGAGCTGATTCCCAACGGAGGAGAGTTAGGCATTTTAAACAGCGGGAACCTTGTTCAAGACGCTGCCTCCAAACATAAACAACTGTCGGAGCTTCTGCGAGGCGGCAGCGGCTCGAGCATCAACCCGGGACTCGGGAATGTGAGCGCCAGCAGCCCTGTGCAGCCGGGCTTGGGGGGCCAGGCCCCAGGGCCGCCGAACAGTGCGAACCTGGCCAGCTTGGGTGCCATGGGCAAGAGCCCTCTGAGCCAGGGAGATTCTTCAGCACCCAGCCTACCCAAACAGGCGGCCGGCACCTCGGGGCCCACTCCGCCTGCTTCCCAAGCACTGAATCCGCAAGCACAAAAGCAGGTGGGGCTGGTGACCAGCAGTCCCGCCACGTCGCAGACGGGCCCCGGCATCTGCATGAACGCCAGCTTTAGCCAGACCCACCCCGGCCTCCTCAATAGTAACTCTGGCCACAGTTTGATGAACCAGGCCCAGCCAGGACAGGCGCAAGTCATGAACGGATCTCTTGGCGCTGCCGGCAGAGGAAGGGGAACTGGAATGCCATACCCCGCCCCCGCCATGCAAGGCGCCGCGAGCAGCGTGCTGGCCGAGACGTTGACACAGGTGTCCCCGCAAATTGCCGGTCACGGGGGACTGAACACGGCACAGGCAGGAGGCATGACCAAGGTAAGGGACTCGGGGCGTCGCGTGCTTCTTAGCAGCGGGGCCTCTCCCCACAGGTCGTGCCACAGGCCGGGGGACTGGCACGTTCCTGTCCTCCTGCCCCTCAGACTTGGAAGAGACAGGTTTGGTGTCCGGAGCCCTTCCCCCTGGGCTGCAGATCCCTGCCGGTGCTGGGAGGGGGCAGTCTCAGGGAAGCCGCATGTGGGGTGGCCTCTGTGTCAGGCCGTTGAAGACAGCAAACGCAGTTGGGCTGATTGCCCGATCCCCACCTCTGAGGAGAGGGTGGAGATTCCACCACCTGTTGAAAGAGACAGCTTCTGTCAGGAATTGGCCTCCCGTGCGTCATGCGTCCGCAGAGGCAGCTCTGCCTCCTTTTCACCCCGCTTTCCTTTTTACAACCAGTTGGTGAAGTATCTCTTGTCGGTCTCCACTTGTTCCTCGCTGACGGGCTGCCTGCTGCACTTTCCAGCGCAGGAACGGCAGGGCCAGGGCCCAGAATTAGGTGTTTGAGCATCACCGGGAGCTTCTGACTCGGGGCTGGGCCGCGCCTCTGGGTCCGGGGAAGGCAGGACTGCGGCCACCACCCATACCAGTGGCGGCGAGAGTAGGGGCTGCTTGGGGAACAGGCAGGTCGATGCCCAGACAGAGGAGGCAGCTGAGAAAGAGGGAAGCTGGTGGGGTGGAGGGTGCAGGCCGACCCCACCACAGGCGCGTTTGGCACAGCGAATACCAGAACGCAGGAAACAGCTTGAACTGCTCTGGGGATGTGATTTGTGCCAAATAAAAGCAGGAATAAGAGCAGAAAACAGATTCCCAGCAAGGTTGATGCAAGCGTTGAAAGCTGTGACTCTCCTAGGTGGGAAGAGGACTATTAGCAACTTGAGAAATAAAAGTGAAACAACAGAATTGCATTTGTCTCTTTTGAAACCCTCGCGAAGGGGCACGTGAACTTCAGTGCCTCTCTCCCCGGTGTCTGGAGCGGGTCTGTGTGCGCGGGGGCTGGGGTTCTGGGGTTCACTCATAGGAGGCCCCGATCCAGGCCGCCGTCTCTCCGGCACACGACCCGGGCAGGAGAAGTGCTTGCTTTGGGGGCTTAAGTCCTATCCCAAAGCAGGCGGCAAGAGTTCTTCAACTTTCGGTCTTAGACTTGCGTCATCTTAAAATATCTAGGGCCCTGAGGACATTTCTTTAAAACGTGGGTCGCCTCTGTCAGCTGGCGCCCGTCAGAGCCCCTGCCCTCGCCCGCGCTCTCGGGCACATGCCTCTCGGGCAGACCGTCCTCCTGAGTCCATGTTCAGGATGTTTTCTGCAGTTTTTAAAAATAAGAGCTCTGGGCTCTGGGTTTAATCCTGGACTCTTTCTTTTGCCTCCATCTTGGTTCGCCCCGTGTCAGAAACTCGTCCCCTCGCGCATGGCAGCGTGTGGTGTGTGAGGAAACCAACTGCCCTCCGTCCCTGTCCTGATGTTTCCTAAGGTCAGAGCGTCAAAGTGTTTCCTTTGCTGTTCTTAAAAGAGTCTTGTCCAGATGTGTGGCTCCTCGCCCCGTCTGCTCGTCAGAATTACCTGGGAGTTCTCAAAACCTGACGCCCGGGCCCTGCCGCAGACCAGTTCAGTCAGAGCTCGTGTGCCACAAGTGTCACGCAGGTGCGGGCCTTCTGGGGGGTCATGCGCCCCAGTCGGGAACAGTTGTTTGAGATAAACTTGAGAATTGTTTCTCAGACTCTTTCAGAATCTTGGGATTTGATTGGGATTGGATGGGACTTCGTAAATCCTTTAGCGAGAAATGAGAGATTTTAATAGTTTCGCGGCTCCTGCGTCGCCTTCCCCTGCACATGCCAGTCGAGTCTCAGGTGCAGGCCTGTGCTGCCAGAGGGGGACAGTAGGTGCGTCTGTCTGTGGGTGTGTCTATGCTTTTTATGTTGCTATTGGGGTTGCATTGTTTCAATATAGGAGAACTGGTGTGTCATATATCAATAGATAAATACCGCTGTAATGATCTGGCCACGTTATAGGGTTCTCTTATTTATTCTAATTCTTTTTCAGGTGATTTTCTTGAGCTTTCCTAGTACACGGTCATCCTTTGCATTCTTGCAGGTGTTTCCAGCAATGTTTATGCTTTCAGGCACCCTGACTTAAGTAAACAGTGTTTCATTATTAGGTGCAGCGTGAGCTTTGGTATGTAGACATTTTTAATGGGGACACAATCTAGTCTTCATTTATTGGATGTTGGAGTTTGTCACATTCCTTTTTTTTTTTTTTGACACCCATGGTTGATTACCCTGTGAATTTATTTTCTTTATGTATATGAAACATATTATCTCAGTAGGTTTCCTAATATCAAATTGAACCATCTCTGTAACTGCGAAATTAAAAGTTAATACACTGCTGAATTTTACTTGCTACTTTTTCATTGAGAATTTTTGCTTCTCACTAATCAATAGTGAGATTGAATTGTAGTTTTTTGTGTATTTTGTCATGTTTTGATATTCGTGCCATGTTAACTTGATAGAGAATTTGGTAGTTTTTTGCATCTATTCTCTGGAATGGCTTAGCATTCAGGTAATCTGTTCTTGAAGAATGGAGTTGCTTCACCTGTAAAACCCTGAGGGCCTGAAGCTTTTTTCTGTCAGGGTTGACTTGAGATTTTTGACAACAGTTTTGCTGTTTTCTGTTTATTTTGCCTCTTAGTATTGTGGTCTTTTGGATCAAGATATTTTCCTTTAGGAAAGTCTAAATCTGTGATTTTGAGGGAAAACTATTTAACTGTTTATTCATTAAGTGGAGGGCCTCCCCGGTGGTGCAGCAGTTGAGCGCTGGGTTGCAAAGCTGCCTGCAGCCTCTTCCGCGCTGGTTCAATCCCTGGGTGCTCCCCAGCCACCGGAGGAGGGTCCGGCATGGCGCGCAGACCTCTCCTGCCGCCCGCCGCTCCCCTCAGCAGTGTACTTCGGTCCTTCTGCCTGCTCTGCTTCCCGCTCTGGCTCTGGTGAATTCTCTCACCCTCCCACGCTTCTGACTGTACCCAGTGCTTGTATAAATAAATAAATAAAAATCTAAAAAAAATAAAAAATGAAAATTTTAAAAAACCATAAAAGTTTTAAAAAAAAGATTATATTAAAAAAAAACAAAACATAAAGTGGATACTGTTACTGTTGCCAGTTACAGACTAAAGCATGGGGGCACAGCATCGTGGGGGCATGGGGCGGCGCTCACTAGCTCCCTGCACACACCCGGAGAGGAGAGGAACAGCGTGGGCCCGCCGTCCAGCCAGCAGCCCCTGGGTCACTGGCCTGTGTAGCCTGTTCTTAGGACAGTTTTGCAATTTATAATTTTAATACAGATTCTTTACATTTAGGCTTTAACATTCATCTAACTTAGAGTTATGCAAAAATCTTACAGTTCTGGACATTCTGCGTGTTCGTGATAATTTCCTCTTTCTCATTCTCATTTTGTGTGACTCTTCAAGAAAAATATTTAAAATAGAAAGCACGAGCTCTTTCAGCAGCCTGCCAGTAATGTTAATGTAAACACGGCATGCTCTGATTTAGAAAAAATGAAATGATTTTTCTGTTTCAGAAATAGCAACACCTGATTATGTTATCTTCCTGCTAGCATGTTCTGTTTTTCTACTGAACACAACCCAAACACTTGTCCTTTAGATGGAAAGAAAAACGGTACATTTAGGTGAGATTTAGAAGCTGTTCAGCATTCAAGCCCCTCCTGCCGGTGGAGTTGAGAGGGGCTCGCACAGGGAGGGTAGCAGAGGGGATGCTGAGGGCAGGGGCTGCCGTGTGTTTTGGTCCCTGCTCTAGAGCCTTTTCATTCTAAGGTCAACAAGGATTTGCTTGTGTGGCCTTAGAAATCCTTCTACTCCTCTCTTATAAGTAACAAATCTTTGAAAAGGGGCCAAAATAGTTTGTAGAAAGCATTCTTCACAGATTAAGGTTATTTGTTTTTGTTTTTTTTTTAAGATTTATTTATTTATGCATACAAGAGCCGGGGTACAGGCCAGAGAGGCGGGGGGAGGGGGTGGTGGTGAGAGAATCCACCAGAGACAGAGTGCAGAACAGAACAGGCAGACTGACCGAAACACATTGCTGAGGGGAGCAGCGGGCGAATCAGAAGAGGTCTGCTGCACTATGTGGGTTGCTCCCTGGCTGGCCGGGGATCGAACACGTGCTGCAGAGGCTGCGGATTGCTCCACAGTGCGGCGCTTAACCCTTTGCGCCACCAGGGAGGCCCTAGGGTTTATTTTTTGATGAAGTTTTGGGAAAGTCTTCCTTAGACTGTGAGCAGGAATGCTAGCGCCTGTACCTCTCTCTGGGGGTGAGGCTCTGGCTCAGACCCTGGTCTCCTGGAGCGGCGCAGCGGCCCTGGCCCCTGTACCTGAGTGTGTGATGCGTCTCTGCAGGTGCCTTGGTGCTGGATCCAGGACCCTCTCCAGAGTTTCGGATTCAGCAGCTTTAGAGCAGGGCCTGAGAATTGTGCATTTCTTTTACCCACAGGGCAGGATGCCCACTGAGCACCTGCACCGAAGGGGCTGGACTTGGAGAATATAGTCAGTGAAGAATGAGCAAGAGGCTTGCCCGGCTCACCTGCCTCCGCTGCCCTGCAGCAGTGATTCAGATGTTTAGTGTTTAACCCAAGAAACTGCACATTTGTCTGATGCTTTTTCTCTGTTTCATGTAATGCCACCTCATCTGTTCCTTAAGGTAGAGCAAAGAAAATAAGGGATTTTACATTAAATAAGCAAATCATGATTTGACTTTCTACAAACAATGGCAGTGGAAATAAATGACGAATTCATAGAAAGAAAAGACTGAAAGCCTTGAATTGCGCTGTGCTGGGGTGTCTCAAGCTCCTGGACACAGGTGTTGAGTAGCAATGTGAAGCATGTGGGGAGTGGCTCCCCCCACGGGACCTGCCGGAAAGCTGTCCTCCACACTGGAGCCTGTGTTTGCCCAGAGTCATCCATAAGGTTGGTTTCTTTTAAAATTCATCAAATG